CCCTACATTTGAACCCTAAAGTTCAAAGTGGGGATTCAGCCTTGACAGGGTGTGAAAAAGCCACCCCCGAGTGACAAGCTCTCCTGCTGACATAGCTACTGCTGCTCAGGGAGGTGGAGTAATTATGCCGACAGGAGAGTATACATACTCAATAGCCACACAGGAAGAATTAATTAACTATAAGATAGTTTGTAAATATTACAGAATTATTATTTTAAGATGTAGCTAACTCAGGAATTTAGGAAATGTGAAATTTGGGCTTGCAGATTTTTAGGACACATCTGTTTACCTGATAAGTATAGCATTATAAATTGAGTATGAAAGTTTTAGTCAGACTTGATTATAACAGGTATAACTTTTTAAGCCTGTAAAGCTATTACATAAATTAGCATTGTATTCTCTATTCATTTTCATCTCAGATGAAGTAAAAATGTGCATTTGCTAGACTGCATCTCTTCTGGGAGTATGGAGACATGATGTGTATCTTTTTCCTCCCCTCCTCAAACATTCACAGGGTCCAGTGTTTTTCCTTGAAGATGGAAAATCAGCTATTTCACTGAATGATGCTTTGATGTGGGCCAAAGTGAATCCCTTCTCACCATTAGGAACAGGAATACGACTCAACCCATTCTAATAAGACTTTTTCCTCTGTAGTGCTTAAAACAAGTTACATCCAGCAGGTTAACATTAATTTAACCTTGATTGTTGAAGGATAGAAAGATGGCAGTTGATTCTTCCTGAAGGACAATTATTTGAATTTTGCAAAATGTAAATGAGAAAATGAAAAATAGATTTATATATATATATATATAAAGTTATATGATAATCCAAAGAAAAAATGTCCTTACATAATTGACAGCCATGTTTTTTTAAAAAAGAGAATACTGTCAGACAACATAAAAACATTTCAGTAAATTTTTGTGAGCAAATTGTAAAGCAAGAAAAGAAATATCTGAACATTAGCAAAATACTGGGGTAGCTGAAACTGTGAAATTCATAAGACATTTTTAAATACATCAGTATATATTTATGCTTTTATGAATTGCCACTGAGATACAGCTGAGTTTCATACATTCTGTATGCCCTTTTGTTTGTATCTAATACTTGGTAAAATGTGTTCTAAAGAGTGATAGTGTAAATTAAATGACAACATAGTCAAAATACTTCAATTTTTCATTAAAAAATCTTTCCATACAATAAATATTTAAGCTTTAACAGGAAAAGAGAAGTCATTGTGATGAATATCTAGATTAGGATAAATTATTCTATTTTCTAATAAATCCATCTTTAGCAGTCCCCCCATTATATTTTATTGAGCGCTAAAATGTCTTCTATTAACCTTATTTTTTTAATAAATAGCTTGTAAGTAATAAACAGCTTATTTAATGAAAATTATTGAAATACATGATGTAAATTGAAATTTTTGTTTTTTAATTTTGTATAGATTGTAAAAATTTGTATGGTATTGAGGACCTGATACATAAATATGTGAGCATTGCTTTATTTAGTTGGATGGTTAGTTCACGTCTAGTATCATGTGCCCAAATGAAAGAAAAAATGACAGCAGTAGAATATTTTATTCTAAAAATTGTGCATAATATCAAATACCTGCATGAGAAGACCAGTTGTTCACAGATAGAATTGTTCTTCCATCAAATAGTATTAGAAATCCTTTTGCTGGGTTCCCTGATCAGCATGTTAGTGGCATTGTTCTCATCAGCTTCACTTCCTCTTTCCCCTGCCTCTCCCTCCCCCCCCCCCCCCCCCCCCAAAACAAACAAACAAACAAACAAACGTTGTTCTGGTTGGGATATCAAGAGATAATAATAAAAATGACTGAAAACGTTTTAAATAACCTGTACAAAATAGGAATAACACAAGATATAGCCCTTCTCATCGTAAAATGCCTTGCAAACCTAATCCTCTCACAATCCCTATGAGGTAGTAAGGAATGTCCTCATTTTACTAAGTGGAAACTGAGCTAGAGAGGCTAGCTGATCGGCCCTAGGCTACAGAGGAAGTTAAAACTCAGGAATTCTATGAAGTATGGAAAAAACAAACATTTTTCTTTTTTTTTAAGTTTAAAGTTAATAATTTTATTCCACAAAGGGTTTATTGAATTTATTACAGATTTTTGGCGCCTCAAATAAATAGTACATCCTAACTACCAGCCCTTGTTTTGCAAGAGAGTTAGGTATCACTTTATTGCTTCTACCATTTGAGATTTGTTTCTCTTTGTTTAATTATATGGAGTTTGGGGAATGAGAGTTGGAATTCAGAAAAAAGAACCATTATACTAATTTATGGAAGAACTATAACCTATCCAGCTGTGAATAAACAATGGTTATTTTTGTTGAATCAAAGATCAGTAGTTACCTTGTGCTGTGTGACTTGTATGTCCGATGTGTATGTAAAAGAAATATAGGCATTTTCAGATGGGGAAAGATGGAGAGGATTGATCATAAACACCAAAGTTTGTTTAACTGTATGAATTGGAATCTGAAGGATTGACTCAACTGCCATTCTATTCTTTAAATCTTTGGTAATATCCTGAAGATTTGTACTTAAATCTTTTAAATAATTATAAATATGTAGTAAAACTGCATCAATTTGTGGAAGTTGTGCCTTAGTGTGGAATCTCAGACAAATCTATTCCCTCTTTTGACACTGAGGGAGGCAAATTATTTTTTCATTGTTAGGTTTAGAGTATAAAAATTGAGTTAAAGGGCACTTTTTATATTAGAAATATGTCTGCTAATAGTCTTTGTGAACAAAAATTATGTTGTATTTGCTTTAAGGTAGTCTTTACCCTATGTGGGGGGAAAACATAAGAAAAAATATTGTAAAATGTGCATTTACTGTTACAATAAATGTAGTCGTAACTGTCAAAACATAGCTGCATCAATGTTTTCCAAAATAATTTCAGGTTGTTTGCTAAAATGTGATTTCATTGTCAAGCAGAACTGCTCAACTATAGCTATTTCCCCTTCATATTAAAAAAAATTTCTGATGTCTTCACCTTCAAATAATTGCTATACAGTGTCTGAATTTCTCTATTGCTTTCCAGGCAAAAATACTAAGCCGTAAAACTTTTATATCCTGTAACAGGTGCTCTGAAAAAATCTCTTGTGATCTTAGTGTTCTTGTAATAAGTGCTAAACTAATAAAATGTCTCTACCAAAGTCACATGTTTATCAAAATGAAGAAAAACAGGTCAAAACTATTACTATTGTTTTAAGCTTCAGAGACTGGAGACAAACACCAGTTGTAAACTTAATTACAAATCTTAGAGAAAAGCTAATTTTATGCTCTGATATTTAATTTAATTTTGGACAGCTCAGATTTTGACTCTTGTAACAAAAATTTAACAATGCCACAAGTAAAAGTGCACTATATGTGGACAAGGACTTACAAAATTCCAGTGATATTGAATAGGCCAAAAGGCAAGACTGCAAAAAAAACAAGTAGTGTCCCTCCTAAAACTGATGACATGGCATTAAAAAAAAACATATTTCTTTTCCAGGTGTGTAGGTGTCAAATTAAAATTGTGTAAAGTCATAAATGCTGCCTATTCAGGGTGCATAAAGACAAAATGATGATTTAAAACAACAAACAAATAAAAAAAATCAGATTTTTAAAAAATAACCCTATTTAAAATTACATTTGAAATTGACAACTTATAATAAAATCATGTAAATTGAATACAAAAAATAAGTAGTACATGTTTGATGTAAAGTTTTAAAGTCAGATCACTGAACTGCTGAGGCTCAGTTTCAGAGGGGTGTAGCCGTGCTAGTCTGTTTCAGCAAAAGACAACGAGGAGTCTTGTGGCACCTTAAAGACTAACAAATTTATTAGAGCATAAGCTTTCGTGGGCTATGACCCGCTTCGTCAGATGTATGGAGAGAAAATAACAGTAGGCAGGCATATTTAGATTTATTTACTTTGAACACTTCAGATCCTATGAAAGCTTATGCTCTAATAAATTTGTTAGTCTTTAAGGTGCCACAAGATTCCTCATTGTTTTTGCTGGGACTCACTAGCTAACCACTTGGAACCAGAGTTTGTTGAACCAGCTTTTGACAGCAGTAGCCTCTTCTGAAGATGCAGAGAGAATATCTTCATTTTGGCTTATTTAACTAGTTTAGTTCAATGATTAGTCCATTCAAAGTTAAGAAACTGATTGGAAGCTGAAAAGGCAGAAGGCTTGTTTTTACCTCTTCCAATCTATAAATAAAAATTAGATATGAGAGGATGAAATTTACTAGTTTTAAATTTTTGAAGGGTATGTTTACCAGAAATAATCAATTCAATTCACTAAGCGACAATGCTTCCCCTTTGTTTAGTAACCCAGTTAGCTTAAAATGTAAAACATTTTTGATAAAAGTTTATGAATTTAGCACATTTAAAGTAGTTATATTTAATAAAAAATAAAATGCTGTTTTTCTGCATTTTAATTAATTTGAATTTCCACTGAAATAAAACTTGACACAAATCAAAAGTAGAACATTAATCATCTACTAAGAAATGCATTATTTTCAAACATAAAAAATGTAAAAATTAAGAATGTGAATAAGTGTAAATTTATGACTTGTGTTACACAAGAGGTCAGATTGGATGATCATAATATTTCCTTCTGGCCTTGGAATCTATGAAAGCTGTGTAACTGCTTAAATGTATATAGATATAATGTATCCTCCTGGTTAGCCAAAAAAAAAAAGCAGCACCAAATTTAGTGTAAAGAATAAAGTTAGTTGAACATCACCACTTTTTAAACAAATGATTACCAACCACTGAGCATCAACTTTTTTTCTGAAAGTAACTAAAGTACAAAGGCAAAACATGATTAATATAGATGATTTTAAAGCAAGGTGTCCTACTTGCTAATATAAATCATGATTAAAATTGATAGTTAAATCACTTTGATTTAAATCAGCTCCCTGCTCCCTATTCAGATCCTTACCTTGCACAGATTTTAATATATGTAATAACAGAATCATTTCCAAGGGAGTTTTCAGCTGCCACAGATTCTAAGCTTCCATTAAAAATTTATGTTCCTAATTTTCCATTCTGAAGATCACCTTCAAAATGTACATGAATTAATGGGACACTGAAAAAACTGTTTCTCCTGAAATAGAGCTACAGCCTACACATTCTTTGAAAGGCATGCATAAGCAGGATAATCACTGATGCAATAAACAATTTTAATTGCTTTAATTTGGATATAACAACTTCTAAAGCTGTGAAGGGAGAGATTTTTCTCCAACAAACTAGATTTATTTACTTTGAACACTTCAGATCCGTACACCTATACATGAAGGAAACGAAAGCCATGACCAGCTTTGATATAGATAAGTTACGAAAAATTAATAATAATCTTATTTCTAAGATTGTAAAAATTAATGTACAGTAGGTCAAGATACAAAAGGACAAAGTACAACTGTCAAATTTATTCAACTCATCACATCACAATGTACAAAAAGTTTGACTACACATCATCATTACTCATCTTGCACCACTGCAATCTGTAAATTGGAAAATTTCACTAACAAAGAACTTGAAATATTAAAAACAACTCAATCTAGCAAGTAATCAAGTCTAGGAGGAGGCTGAGCTGTAAAAGCAACTATGGTACCAAGTCACTGAAGGAAGCCGTCTAACAATAGGGAAACTACAGTGATGTATATTTTAGATACTGCTTTGTTTAGTGATGATTTAGCTTGTCACACTTCCACAAACATCAGATTTCCAATATGTATTTTGTTTTGGCATTTACTAGAAGAAAATAATGCTCTGATTTAACAGACACTGAAACCAATCAGGCAATTCTCTCCCAATGGATATGGTCAAAGAATTATAGAGATAAAGTTGATCTTGTACATTTTCAAAGTTGAGGTCTCTCCAATACTTTTTTTTCAGTGTTCAGTTAGAATCCTTTTGGCCAGGTGCTTGGAGTTGCCGCACTTATACATCCACAGTAAAAGAGCCTCTGTCAGCTTGTTTCACCTGGATTTCTTTGAAGTGAACACCAGTTTTGCCTCTGATTTCTGGGAGCCCTAGGTCTAATAAAAGAAGCAATTGAATAACGCAACCATGTACTTTTGCTGCTGATTTATTATCAACCAATTTAACTACAAAAACATGTCCTTTTGAATACAATGAAATTTATCTCAAACTGCTAACACAGTGTGTACCCTTTTAGCTCTACTGCTATAACCAACAAGATGCAGTTAAACTGGTATAAAGTTGCTTATACCAGTTAGCTTACAGACGTTCCCCGATTTACGCAATTGTTCCGTTCCGGAAAGCCTTGCGTAACCTGAATTTTACGTAAGTCGGAAACATATATTGTGCAAGCATAAAAAACAAACAATTACAACAAAAATATTGCATCTACCTTAATCCTATTGTTATTCTGGCACACTGAAGGCTGCATTTTGGTGGTGGATGACAATGGGCTTAATTTGTAGATGAGGAAGAAGAGGAGGAGACAGGCATGATTTGAATGAAATAGGGTGAAGTAACAGAAATACAGTTTCACTGAAATAAGAGACTGAGAGGCTGCGAGAGTGCAAAGCCTTCCCTTGTAGAAGATGCTACTGCTGTATTCCACCGCACTACAGTACTTTGCATTCCCGTATGCTACACACTATTTTCCGCAACTCGAAAATTTTATTTATGCCTTATGGAACTTTTTGCATAAGGTCGAATTTGCGTAAGTCGGGTCTGGTGTAACCCGGGGAGCGTCTGTATTTCCATTGATATAAGCACCTTTAGACTGATAGAACTGCAGCCACCCTAGGAGTTGGACAAATTTAACTATCCTGATAGAAAAAAAAGCACACCTCTAACCAAAACAGTTAAATCTCTACAAAAACTGTGCAGACCAGGCCACAGTATACCTCAAACTATCATAGTAGATTTGTTATTGGACTCTTCTATAATATCATGATCAAGATTCCACATGAAATCACTCACTAGGAGACTCTGCCAATCCACTTCCCACTTCTATTGGCGATTGCAAAGAACAGCTGAACTGTGATACCGAAGTCATTTAGACTATCTAATACGATTATCATAGTATCCAAGTGCATCACTCTAATATATTTATCCTCATGACATCCCTGTGAGGCAGAAAGTACTAGGTGACAGAAGCAAGGGTGATCTGTAATAATTAATCAATACTGTATACTTTACATGTGTGTCTGATAGAGGTTTACTATATGAATTCAAAGGGTCAATTCAAGAGTAGGCTACCAACACTTAAGGGGCCTGCTGGGGTAAACACGGTTGATACAGGGTACTGTAGCCCAGGATCTGATCTGGGAGTGGGAGAACTGCAAAGTTTCATCCCACAAGGCCCTGAAGGGGTACATTCAGACAATGGAAGGGAAGAAAGTGGTGCTAGTCCTGTAACCATAACATTACTACCCCCATTTTTTTCTTTTCACAAACAGTGACCACAGGCATAGAGTGAAGTCTGTGGGAACTGAACCGCTGGGGAATTGAACTGTTGTCTCCTAAGTACTAGAATGGAGTTCTATCTGCTGGACCATCCTTCTGACTAGTATCCACCCTTGCACAGTTCTGACCAGTTTAAACACTGGTCCACCGTGGCCTTCGGCCATACAAGCTGTCTTGGAACCTTTTCCATCTAACTAGTTAAAATTTCTTAGGGATTTTACAAACCCCCTACTTTTTTCTTCGTGAGGAAAAGCTTCGACTAATATTCTCAAAGGTTCACTGTCTGCCTTCACGATATCAATAAAAATGGAATCAGGCAAGATAAATAGAACTCCCAACTAAGTCAATGGGTGAATAAGGACCGCAGGATTTCTCCATTGGGGAGCAAGTAAAGAACATCTGTTACCATTACACTAGAGAAGGAACTGCCTTCAGACTGTGCTACTAAGTATAGTGGAAGTTCTGAATCAAAACACTATGGTGCGGAAGAGAAGCAATTTTGACTCCTGAAATATAAGTAGCTGCCACCGAGGCTCAAAAAGAACTTTTTGGAAGCACTGTAGTTATTTTCTAATAAGGTCCAACAGTTTACTTTGAAAGCCATTTATAGACTTTGTTTTAGTAAAAAGACCACTTATCCAAGTAATCAAAGTAAAAAAAAAAAAATCAATCCAATGGAAGAGATTGAAATGAAAGCTTACTTGATATAAAAGAAAGTTTCTCTCTCTGGATGTTAATCGCACTCCCAGAGGGACCTACAGCAGCCGGATGACGAACTGCACGTTCTGCCAAGCTTGGTTTAATGTTAAACCGCTCTTCAAAACACAATTACAATTCATTCATTATAGTCCACATAGTCATAGCCTTCATACAATTAATTGGCCAATTATTCAAAGTGATTTCTTTTCTTATTTAAAAGACACTCCCACCTATAAAAACTAAATAAAGAAATGAAAATAATCACAAACTCTAGCAAAAGAAAAAAGTGCTCTGGCAAAAAATAGCATCATTTTATTCTGCAAAAGCTATCCACAAGGTGACACATAAAATAAGTTTATAAGGTGGCAGTGCACCTTGGTGTGTATGTGGTGGTGGGTTTTGGTTTTTTTTTTAAGAGGCTATGACATGCTTTAGCAATCACATTGTGGGAAGACTAAGGATATGTCTACACTTAAACTGCTACAGTGGCACAACTGCATCTGCTCCACTGTAGACATTACCTACGCTGATGGGAATGGTTCTCCCATTGGCACGGGTAATTCGTCTTCCCGAGAGGCAGCTGCTAGGTCAATGGAAAAATTCTTCCTTTGATCCAGTGCTGTCTACACCCAGGTTTTGCTTGGCATAGTTATGTCTCTGAGGGGTGTACATTTTTCACACCCCTAAGTAACATAGCTCTGTTGATGTAAAATCTCAGTGTAGACCAGCCCTTAATCCGAGATAGGTCTTATCCTTAACTAAGCATTAGAAGCTGTTTTACAACAGATTACAATGTGCATCTCTGAATAGTCAGGTATATTAGTGCTGAGTTTGGCCAACTAAATAAAGCACTCTGAAGAACAAAAGCAATAAGTATTATTCTTTTGTTCTCATTTATTACTTGACACACAGAATGTCCACTGTCATCATAGAAATCTGAGCCTTTTGACCCACGAGTTTAAGTTTAGACAAATTTTGACCATGTGTCTTTTCTACTGACAATCCGGACTGATGCTCCCATTTGTGCCTATCAATCTGTGTCCTGTAATACTTTCAAACTTTAGTGGTATACTCCTAGAAAATGTTGCTTAGAGCAGCTAACTTAGAGCTTAAGGCACTGAACCTGTAAACATTTACATGGGGGAGGAGGGGGGAGAGGACTCAGGCTAGCCCCACATGGTGCCTTTTCCCTTTGGGAAATATGGTCACCCTGCCCCAGTGGGATGCTGTGGCAAAAGGAAGTACTGTGTTCCTCAGATGTATAAAGTGGGGAGTAGGAATAAGGAGGTGATGTTACCTCTGTATATGGCTTTGGTTAGACTGATTCTGGCATATTGCAACCAGTTCGGTTGTCCACATTTTAAAAAAGATGTTGAAAAACTGAAAAGGGTGCAGAAAAAAGACACACAAAAAATCACTTGAGGGATGGAAAAACTGCCTTACAGTGTGATATAAAGAGCTCAATCAGTTTATCTTATCAAAAAGAAGATTTGAGAGATGACTTGTTACAGTGTATAAGCACCTTTACGAGATGAAAATACCAGGTACTAAAGGGATATTAATGTAGTGGAAAATAGCATAAGAACCAGGAAGCTGAAACCAAGCAAGTTCAAATGAAAAAATATTTTGCATATTTATAACAGTAAGGATGGTTAACCATTGGAACAAACTACGAACAGAAGTGGTACATTCTCCATCTCTTGAGGTCTTCAAATCACGACTGGATACCTTTCTGGAAGATATGCTTTAGTCAAAGAAGTTATGGGCCATGGCGCTTCATACAAAGGTAACTGGGTGAAATTTAACAGCCCATGATACACAGGCGGTCAGACTAGATGTCTTATGGTTTCTTTTGGTCTTAAACTCTATGAATCTATGGTAGTAAAGTTAAGCACATGTGTTAGTGTTTGCAGGATCAGGGCCTCATAAAGACCGGCTGCTTTTTAGCAAATTCACCCAAGATCATAAAATGTGAAAAAGAATTAAACAAAATAGTTAAGCAAGCTCAAACTAAAACTAGTTGATTTAAAAGTACACCTCTACCCCGATATAACGCGACCTGATATAACACGAATTCAGATATTACGCAGTAAAGCAGCGCTCCGGGGGGGCAGGGCTGCGCACTCTGGTGGATCAAAGCAAGTTCGATATAACGCGGTTTCACCTATAATGCGGTAAGATATTTTGGCTCCCGAGGACAGCATTATATCGAGGTAGAGGTGTATGTATTTCGCTTTCCACTCTTAAAGGCTTTCTGAGAACATTTCAAATATGGGCCAACTCACCACATTCCCCAGGCTCACTGTCCAATTAAGTTAAACTTACCTGATAAGTGAAAACTTAGGTTCAATACATCTCTGTTTGTATGTTTTTACTAGCAGGAAATCAGTGGTGTACCAAGGAAAATCTCTCTGCTGCAGAAACACTTCAACTATTTAGAGTTAAGCCAGCTAAAGATCTGATCATGGCACCAGCAGCTTTTAATGCAAAGGAATGGCAAAATGTGGATGAATCACTTGTAAGTAATATGGCAATGGTGGAAACTTTATCTGTTACTTCAGCTATATTCCATCTTTATAATATCACTAATATTAATATATCATCTAAGTATCACTGTTCACTTTGAATGCAACTGGCTGAAAATGTTTCCTCAAATAATGCAATCACAAAGTGGTATGATGTTTTCTTTATAATTTCCTAAGCACAAAATCATGATCTAATCCTCTTCATGTTACTTACACCAATAGTTCCACTAACTTCAGTGGGGTTGTGACAGTGTGCCCCATAAGGCTTCATGGGAATATGCTTATGAATGTAGATATGATATAACTAGAATATGTTTTATGCTACATATGCCATGTAACATATCTCTGCAAAGGTTATGATCTACTGAATCTATTAATTGTATGCATGTATAATTTTTGTATTAAAAGTTATGAATATTGGCTGGGCACCGGCTTGATTTTTAAGTAGCCTTTGTAAAGCATTTGGTCAGCTTCTTGAGAAAGGAATGTGCAAATTAAGTGTCCAACCAAGAAGCACTTAAGGGACAACGGATCCTGGGAGGCTCCAATCTGCATAAGAAGTCTCCATGAGGACGTTCAAGGGAGCAGGTAAGCAATGGCTGAGTCAGACTGAGTCTTGCATGGACATGTGACTTACCCATGTGAATCCAAAACTCCATCTTGGAGCTGGACTTTGCATAGGGGAGAGGAGGGGGTCTCCACCCACAAGAGAAAGTCTACTTAAACCCCTGGGAGACCCCTCCATTTGGTCTTCAGCTGGCTAAAGAGATAGCCTCTCCACCCCCAAGGATACCTGAAAGAGGACAGTAACTACAGGGGGTATGAGTGATTGCTGGACCCAGACTAGAAGGAGACTAGTCTGTAAAAGGAAGCTTACTGGAACTGGTGAGGTATTATCTGTATTCAGTTTTCTTAGACATAGACTTGCGTGTTCTATTTTATTTTACTTGGTAATTCACTTTGTTCTGTCTGCTATTACTTGGAATCCTACTTTCTGTATTTAATAAAATCACTTTTTACTTATTAATTAACCCGGGGGGGGGGGCAAACAACTGTGCATATCTCTCTATCAGTGTTATAGAGGGCGAACAATTTATGAGTTTACCCTGTATAAGCTTTATAAAACGGATTTATTTGGGATTTGGACCCCATTGGGAGTTGGGCATCTGAGTGTTATAGACCGGAACACTTCTGTAAGCTGCTTTCAGTTAAGTCTGCAGCTTTGGGGCACGTGGTTCAGACCCTGGGTCTGTGTTGGAGCAGACTGGCATGTCTAGCTCAACAAGACAGGGTGCTGGAGTCCCAAGCTGGCAGGGAAAGCAGGGGCAAAAGTAGTCTTGGCACATCAGTTGGCAGCCCCAAGGGGGTTTCTGTGATCCAACCCGTCACAGGGGTGACAAGTCGTAGTTAAAGCAAGCATGACTTGGCCTAAAGATAGTTCAAATATTTGCCTGTTTTCCATTTTCAAATCATCAGACTAACAAACTAGGACAATGAACATGGGAAACAATCAGTTGCACCACGTACATCAGTTCTTTATACTTGCTTTGAAAAACCACTCACTTGGGTTCTCTTGCCTCTCTACCAGTCTCTGTTGCATATGCATATTGATGATGGCATTAACCTTTTGTCTATTTTTGTTAATGTTGGGCTCTATCATTATTTCTGTTAGCTTAATGTTATTCTTGATAGCCTTTGAAGCTGTTGACCTGGCGACCATTGGTAACTGCTCCTGATAATAGTGGTCTGTAAAGTCAACCTCATCCTGAATATTTTTAATTCTGGGGGGGGAAAAAAAAAAAAGCAAATATTAATGAGTCAGTTACGTTACTACTAATAAATACTGAACACATTATGATGTTTAACACCTTTCAAGACCCTGGTTACATATTACTAATGAATTCTCACAATTCCATTGTGTGGAAGGTATTATCTCCATTTTATAAATGGGGAAACCTTAACACAGAGATAAGCGATTTGCCCAAACCCACAGAGACAGAGTCAGTGTCCAGGCCTGGAAGAGAATACAGGAACTCCTGGTGCTCAGTCCACTAGACCAAAATTCTCAAACTTTTTTCAAAGTATGGACCATTCTTAAGAGAGAGTCTTCTGTGGGCCATCACATTCCAGTTCATGATTGTGTAACACGTTCAAGTCACAGCTGAAGCCAGAGACACAGAGAGCAGCAAGAGCTTTCTACAGCTGTCTATCCTGGGAGCCAAACATGCAGACACTTGCTGATGCAAGTTACTTCATTCAAGTAATCGTGACTAGAGTTGTTCACATGCATAGGACTCTCCACATATGCCTAAAGACTGCACAGCAGTCAGCGCTTCAGGCTTACCCCCTATGGTGGGGACTACAGAGGAGGCTAATGTAAGGCTACTTATGTCAGCCCTATGCTGCTCCTGTGCTGGGGAAATTCTCTTGCAGCTCACTTATGCCTTCTATATGCCACCAGGGCGATTCATTGGGCGCAAAGTGAAGAGCAGAATTTGTCTAAATAAACCTATAAAGCTTGATTATTAGAAACTCATTGAGTTGTCTGGTAATTCTCTTGGTGGATGGTAACACTTAAACCATAAATCTCTGAAATCCACTGGAGGGAAGGGGCATCCATAAAAATGTCCCTTAACACCATTTTGCTGCCTGGCCACAGAAACCACACTGACAGTGGCTTCCCTGACCATGACTGTCCCTGTAGCCCTCATCAGCGGAGCTCATTACTGCAGAGGAGTCAGTAGTATAAGTTGCTGCACTCTTTGTCTACAATAACATACACAAGGTTCCACAGTGTGCTGAGGGGTTAAGAATCTAGTAGAACTAGACCATGGTCAACTCCATCCACAGAGCTGGGGTTCTGCTGGGTTGGGGAAAGTTAAGCATGTTCTGAAGAAGCGGCACTCCCTCTTGCACATCCCCTACTTTAGCTCTGTGGGCATAAGCTCCTTTACACTCAGAGAATTGGAGGAGAGCATATGGATCTCTGGTTTTATGCTTATAAACCCCATCTGTTTTAATAATGGGTTTGCTCTTTATACTAGTTTTATTTTATTTAGTGAATTTCAGGGCTGCTAAGAAGCATGCTGATAACCACTTTAAAGAAATCCTAGGTAATACTATATGCTCTGCAAGTTTCACACACAACACTAAATACCTCATTGTCAATGAAACAACGTTGCTTTTTCAATTAATGAACCAGAGCAGAAGGACTGTGGTGTTTTTTGTGATGTGGGCAAAGGTTCACTAGGGATTTAAATGTTATTTCACTCGTGAAACAGGCATCAGATCCAGGCCCTACTGAAGTCAATGGCAAAACTCCGATTGACTTCACACCGGGGCTTCAGAAATCTGAAGGTTTTGAGTAATATTTATATACTACTCATTAATATGCTACTAAAGTGAATCATCTAAACCTGATACATAATACACTTCTGTAAACAGCACTCACCGTCCATTTGTCAGCATTGAGTAGATGTCTTGTACCAACATTTCTGCTGCTCCCGGTTTACAGTGAATTGTCCCATCTATTAGTTCTTGGACAGGCTTCAAGTTTCTTTTGGAAAAAAACTATAGCAAAAAATAAAAACAGAGAGCATTTCAGTTCCTATTAATTGAGAGGCACAGGTCCATCCTTCCATGCTTTTCACTTGATGTGTGATCGCTCACTTTGTTTTCTCTCAGCCTCTTTCCAATCCAATCCCACTCAAACCCTCACCCCGTAACCAAAATGACAAGCAATTAAAGAAAGTATGCAATATTATGGGTGAGAACTGAAATATAAACTGAGCAAAAATTCAAACTTTTTCTTCCCAAAACAACTGGAACCAGGGGCGGCTCTATGTTTTTTGCCGCCCCAAGCACGGCAGTCAGGCGGCCTTCGGTGGGTGATCTGCCGGTCCCGCAGCTTCGGCGTACCCGCCGCTGAAACCGCGGGGCCAGCGGACCTCTCGCAGGCATGCCGCCGAAAGTCGCCTGACTGCTGCCCTCACAGCTGGGCTGGTGCCTGGAGCCGCCCCGACTGGAACCCCCTTCACTGCCCAACTTAAGAGGTGCATTTGTTAACAATACAAAAACCGTAAGGCCAAGATTTAACCTGGGGTGCCTCAATATTCGCACGGCCGGGTGCCTGGAATAAGTCACTGGGGTTGTCCAGTTGAGTGACGGATCGTTAGTTCCTCCATCGCCATCCCGGCGGAGCTTGGGGCGGCCCCCAGGACTGTCCGCGGCCAATCAATACAGCGGGGGGCGCGCCACTGGGGCGCCATCGCTGCACCAACTTTCCGAGCCCGACGTGTCCCGGGCCATGGCGATGCAGGTTTCACACGGAAGAAAGGCTCGAGCGCTGCGTGCACGTTACAAGCTGCCCCGTCCCCGCCCAGAGCCGTTGCCCGGGCTCGTGCCCCCCGGCGGGGCGGCTCCCTCACCTGGCCGAGCTGGGACCAGTTGCTGAGCTTGGTGGCCAGCGAGGCGCCGTTCTCGTAGCTGTGGCTGTGGATGTCCCCGGGGTAGTACCAGGAGAAGATCTCGGCGATGAGGTAGCCGTTGGAGAAGTCCCTAGAGAACAACGACAATAACGGTAAGGCGCAGCCGGTGGCGCGCGCTCGGAGCCGCCCCGCCCCATCTCACCGTCGGAAGTTCCCGGGGAAGAAGCTCAGGTCCAGGCTCTGCAGCCACCTCAGCACGGCGCGGGGCAGCCCCGTGCGCCTGGGAGGGTGCGAGTACGACATGGAGGCGCGGAGAGGCTGGGACTACCCGCGAGCTGCGCCCGCCGGAATAGGGTCCCCTTTCCCCGTGTCCTCCAGCCGCTGTGACTAGTTACCAAGCAACCGCCACAAACCATGGAAGTAGGCGGGGACTCATTCGATTTCGCCTCCCGCCCACGGATTCCCCCAGAATGGCTAGAGTGCGCACGCGTGGCAGGCAACCCGTGAGCGGTATTGCCTGAGTGCGCACGCGCAGTGGTAGTACCTGAGTGCCTGTGGGCAGCCGGCAATAGCGCCTGCGCGAAGCTCTGAGCTGGCCCCACGTTACTCTGAGTCTGCGGCCAGCGCTCTACTGGCTGAGCTGGGCAGCGACTCCCCTGCCAGGGGGCGCCATCCTACCACACAGCTCCCCGATAGGCGCCTGCGGACCGTCATGTGCCCGTGCCCCAGGTGTTAGCTGTGAGCTCCCCGTACACACCAACAGTAGCCCCCCGTACAGACCAATGTCACACACATCAGTTACTAGCTCCTCTGGGTGTTTTATTCTTGATCAGTTGCTACTGTGTTTGCGCGACTAGAAACAGCAGAATTAATTCATCTGAGATGTGGTACAAAAGCACATGCGGGCTGTCTAGAGATCTGATTCTATATATTTAGTCTCTTTGCAGTGTTCTCCCTTATTTTGCTATATATCCAAAAACATTAAAAGCTGATTTTTTTTAATGCTATCTAGGTTAAGAGCTAATGATTTTACACCCATTAGTGAAATTATATCTGCATCCACCTCTTCTCTCTAACCCACTCAATTTATTTGAGTATTAGCCTTTTGGCTCTTCTCAAGATGTGCATCGTCTTGACTTTTAAAAGGATACTTAGTCACTTTTAAGCATCCACTCACCATGTTTGTCCACCTTAGTCACATACATCCTGCCATCTTACTACACTATATCTTTTCTTATTTCTTAGATTTTACTATCTTATTCCAAGATTTTTTTGTAATTAGGCCATACCCTGAATTGTTCTACAAGCAAAAATCCCACTAGAGCCAAAGGGCTTGAAAGTGTATTGATTGTACAACTGTGGTGTTATGTTCTGTCCAAAATGTCTTGGATAGTTCAGACACAACAAATCCTGCATTTTGGCATGGGGTTAGACTAGATGACCCTTGCGGTTCCTCCTAACCCCATGATTCTACGATTACATTTATTCCCCCCCACACACACACACTTGACCACTGTCCGGTTTTCACTTCTAGAGATTTCACTGGCTATAACAGCAGTATTGATCAGTCATTCCATTATCTGGCTTAATGTTTGCAAATTGCACAGGACTTTGAAAATGGGAAATTCTACATTAGGGTAGGGTAGAGTAGGGTAGGGTGACACCCCCCTCCCCAGCACCTCCCGTCTGCCAGCGGCCCTGCCAATCAACTCCTCCTTCTCCCTCCCAGTGCCTCTCCTGCTCACCATGATCAGCTGTTTCTGGCATGCAGGAGGTGCTGGGGGGAGGGGGAGGAGCGGGGACAGGGCGGAACTGGGCAGGAAGAGGCACGGCGGGGGGAGTGGAGGCTTGGGGTGGGGCTGAGGGCGGAGCATGGGGTTGAGCACCCCCGGGGCCCAGAGGAAACCAGTGCCTGTGAGGGCCTGATTCTGAGAGAACTTGAGCACCTCCTCTGCTTCCATTGAAGTCAGTGGCACTGACACAGGGAGTAGTTTCTGCGTGATAATTATAGTCATCCTAAATATGTCTTTACTAATGTCATATTACAATAAATTCCGCTCAATTGGAAAGTGGAAATTTTGAGAAACTGATTAGTCTGGGTCACCCAATCTTTGCTTAAATGGAAGGGCTGCACCTACTTTGCAGAAAATGAAGCAGATTGCAGTTGCTCCTGTCTCAGCTGGCAAATGTAGTAGATGGAAGTAAAATGTGGTCATGCTGGTTGGATCCAGAGGAAGCATTGCATATCCTGAAACCCGTGGCCTGTGACTGCCAGGGCAACTGCAATCTGCTCCATGTAATGCAAAATAAGTGAAGTCCTCATGTAAAGATGAGGGAAGCAATGCTGAACTGTTTAGAACTGGTCAATATACTGACCATCTTTGCTGCTGGAACAATTAAATTTTCCTAATCCCAAACATACACTTGTACTTGCTTGTATCAGTTATTTTATCTTCTTGCTGTTACTTTTCTCTCATCATGAAATCATGGAACAATCTGAATTCTTCAGAGCAGATGTGTATATAGAGGAGGTTTTTTGTTTGTTTGTTTGTTTGTTTTTTTAAAGCATAGTTCCATCCTGTTGGGGTGGGTGTGAATTGCTCATCTGCATATTTTCTTCCTTTTCAGATGTTATTCTTATTTTCCTTTGAGGAGACTGAGTTATTTTCACTATTCTGTTTTTAAGGTCTCTTGGAAAGACTTTTCCTGGTACACGTAGCAGACATTAATCCCTATTGTGGTTCGTGCGTCTTTGGTGGAATATCTGTTCTGTCTGATTTCCTGTAATTTGTGTATCCTATCAAGGCTGTCATTTGCAGGGGGAAATTACTCCACATAGATTTGGATTGATGCTTTCTCATTCTTGAATTTATTTCTCCATGCAAGTGTTAAAGTATCAAAGGAAAATATCTTTTACATATTGTTTAGCTATACTGCATCGAACTATTGAACCCGTTGATTTTCCATTCGCTGTCTTCTCACTTGAAGTAAGACTAATGTATCCCAGCAGGTTTTTATTTTTTGTCAGTGAGAGAAGCATCCAAAAACCTCAGCTGGTGGATCAGGACAGTTGCAGACATGCAAGAAAAATAAGCAGTGTCAGGATCTCTAGGAATCCAAGTAGGATTTAAGGATTTAGTCCCAGATCCTCAAAGGTTTTTAGGCACCTATCTGTCTCTTAGGCACCTAAGTTCACGATTTAGACTCCACTAACATTTTCATAATTGCTGCTCAACTGCCATTTACCACTTAGGATCCTAATTCCCCTTTGTGCCTAAAATCCTGCCAGTTGACATTCACAAAGACTCCTAATCCCTGATGCCTCCCCACAGCTAACGAGCAGCTCAGAGCTCTAGCTCAAGATGAAGCACAAGAGACCCTGAAGTGGGATTATCAGTCTAGGCAGGGGAACGCCTATATCATCAGCAAGGCCCAATCCTGTATTGCCGCTCTGAGCTCGCCTAAAACTTGATATCTGTCAGACCCCAGCCACCAATAGGGGGACACAGCACCTACACAGAAGACAGCCAGGGACACAGGGAAAGAAGTATCAGGAGTGATCAGGAGAGAGATAGAGAGGATTTTGGCTGCTAGGGCATGGACTACATGAGCAGATGACCTGGCTTAGTTACCCAACTCCAGGGGAGGGTTCCTTGCTGAGGATTCCTAGTGGAAGAAAGTGCCTATCTGTGGCTTGACAGTGAGGCACACAAGGTCAACCACTTAGGCAACTAAGCCGCTGCCCCTCCATTCCCTGCCCCTCCTCTCCATATTTTACTCCTGGTTAGTATAGGCAACTCCCCATCCAGCTTGCTGGCTTCTGAGGCTCCCTTTCTTAGATGCCTAATTCTCTCCATGCACTGTACGGAGTGCCTGAATACCTAGCTTGGGGCTGACTATTCCACCAGGTGGCAAGGCGCCTAAGGGGTTAGGTGTTGCAACACTTAGCACAGCGATTCTTAAGTACCTTTGAGCATCTGGGCCTTAGGGCCTGATCCAAAGCTTATTGAACTCAATAGGTGTCTTTCTAGGAACTTCAGTGGATTTTGGATCAGACCTTTGGAGAACTGGGTGGCAGCTCATTTGAATGGAAGAGAGGGGCTCATTATACAAGTGGAAAGGGTAGAGTAGCTGTGATGGGATCTCTGGAGTGCAACCTGGAACTCTGGTACCGCTGTGCCCTCTTAACTCTCCAGCCTGAGCTGTCTCTCACAATGCTTTGCTAGTGACAAGCAGCAAGTCCCTCCAGGCACTGTTATCACTCAGCACAACAGCATGATTGCATGAATGCTTCCAGAGCCACTCACGAATCACAAGAGAAATGTGTCAGCCAGTCTCCCCCAGCTCTTCAGCCTTGCACCTCAGAGCTGTACCATCTTGCCCTGATCAGAAGCCTGACCAGTGTAAGTTTATTACCCAGCCCACCGCTCCCTCAATGTGGAGAGGACCTACACTAGCCCTTGTAACCTGAGCTGAGATTTCCCAAGCACTTCCAACAATATACACTGTTTTAGGTAAAATATAAAACAGGTTTATTAACTACAGAAAAATAGATTTTAAGTGATTGTAAGTGGTAGGCATAAAAGGTCAGAGATAGTTACCAAAGAAAGTAAAAGATAAGCGCACAGTCTAAATCTTAAACCTTATTAGACTAGGCAATATTTAGATCAAGCAATTTTCTCACCCCACTGGATGTTATAATTCATAATACACAGGCCTCTCTCTCAAGCCTGGGATCGGTCTCCTCAGTTGAAGTCTTCCGTCTTTCCAGCATTTTTGTTGCTTCCAGCGTAGGTGGGGGAGGAGAAAGGCCAAGGCCTGATGCCACTGTCCCTTGTGGAAGCAGAGAAAGAACTGACAGAAAGGAACTGCAATGCATGACAGTTAGTTAGCAAGAGTCAGGCTAACTGTAACCCTGATAACGCGAGATTTGTAGAAGCGAGGATTGTGTGAGGTGGGTGAGAAAGAACTGTGTGAGAAGTTATTGTGACCTTGTATAGATAAGGTGTAGAAGACCTTGTGTAGATAAGGTATAGAAAATATTGTATGTTGGCAAGAGTCAAAACAAGTAAGGAATTAAGATATCAAGATGGCCTATGTATAACAAAATGCAGCTGTCCCTCATTATTTCTGTAATGAAAGGTATAAATGCTTGCTGTAATTAGTTACCAGGGGGAGACCTGCTTAGCTCTCTCCCTCTGCACAATTGTGAGAGTTAATAAAGCATCTGACTTGCTGTACCCAAACAAAAAGTGAGAACTCAGTTTTTCTCCGACACCCTTATTTTATAATTCCAGTCCATGTGGCTGGGAAATACTAGCCCAGACATGTCCTGTTTGGCTTTACTGAGTCACAAGGTTGAGCAATCCCCCTGGTGTGGTCTTGTGAAACTGGCACTGAATTGTAAATCCCTTGTTTATTATTCCACTACTGGTCAATGGCTG